AAATGAATATAAAATTTGCTGCTAAGTAAATTTTTGAAAACGGTACCTCGCACCTGCTTTTTCATTATTCTTATAAAAAAAGACTATTAAAATGCCAAAATAATTAATAATATAAATAATTGTAATCGAGAAGAAGGAATTTAATAATGCCAAATGATATAAATATAAAAGTAAACTTTTTGATTCTATATATCAATTGCTGAGTTAAAAATTATGATTCATATATTAGTAGAAAAAAACAAGAAACAAAAATGTGATACAAAAATCATTTGTTATCAGAACAGACACAGATGAATGTTATAAGTAAAAATTAGTTAAATTAATAAAAGACCAATTTACAATATAATTGTTATCACGTAGAAATTAGTGATGAATCAATATCAAATAAATTTGAACGTTAGCTTAGTAATGGCCTGTTAACATATAAAAATCTAAATAATTTGATTAATTTAGAAATACATATTTATATTAATGTAGTTAAAAACGGGACAGAAAAACAAATAAATCGTCAACTAGTCATGTTTGAGAATTTAAAAAACATAATTTTAATAATTTATAATAAGTATTTAAGTAGTAAACTACACATATGTTCTACTTTCTCTAAATACTAAAGTTAAAATTCTTAAAGGAATTTTTCTTTTGTTGAATAATGTGGTCGAATAACGTTTTATCTACCAGCATCTTTTAATGTATTATTTACAATATAATAAATAACCAGAAAATTAATGGAAAAATTATGTATTATGTAAAATATTTTCGTTCTAAATATAAAAATTTCAGTTTATCGATCTGAGTCTCTTTTTGAAATAAAAGATTTTTAATTGTTGTATTTATAAAGAAAAGATAGAACAAATATTTATTTATTATAAAAAATAAACAAAAAGCAAGAAATGACGAAAAACCGTTTATAATCATGTATCTTTACTCATGTACTTTATTATTTGAAATTATATATCTATTAAAAAGACTCATTTATGAACAAACAAATACAGGCGTAGAGAAATCAAATTCTTAATCTTGTGAATTTTAAATACACTAATATATTATAATTCTAGATTTTTATATCACTAGAAATTCTTTATATATATATTTATGTCACTAAACCATGACAATGCAAGATATACTTCAAAACAATTAAACCTCGAAGATATAAAAATGTTTTCGACCTATTTGTTTGTTTATATTTTTCTATATAATTTTTAAATTATTTTTTGAAAAATTTACGGTTATTCCTTGATCAACTATTTACTATTTTTATTTAACAAATTTATTCAGCGATATTTGATATTGTCAATTTTCAAAGATTATAAAATATTAAACAGAATATTGTCGCATTATATGTATTATTCTTCTTGATAAAATTTAAGACAAAGTGTACTTTTTACTTTATTGTTTTAATCAAAATTGTGGAAAAATTTTAAAAATATTACTATATATATATATATATATATATATATTAAATATAGCAAAATATATGTAATACAGATAATTTCTGCATAATTTATCTTTTCTCACAGGATTCTTTTTAATCTGTGTCTTATTTGTACGTACCTGCTGATTTTTTGTTCGTATAACTCGCTTAACTCTAGATTTTCTTTGTTACCTCTTTCACTTGAAGATTTTATTAAAATGTGTTTAGATTTTGCTGTTTTGAATCAGAAATGTGCACAGATACTTATTGTTAAAAGATAATCGTGACAAGAATTTATTTTGTAATTCCTATTAATTTCGTTTCTTTTCAACGGAACGACGTTAAAGCGTGTATGTATAATCGCCTTTGATTTTACTAATACGAACTTTACTGGTCTGTACTGTGTATAAATTTAATATATGTCTTATCGGGACGTATTCCCAAATAACATTAAATACTGTTTATATATAGTGTGTGTTTTCATGAGAGTTACTTCGCAGCAGCCGGGCCAGTTTATAAATTTGAATGTTTTATGATTAGCCAGCAATAATTATATCTCTTTATCAGAAGAAGAGATTGTAAAAATTGTTCTTACGTTGAAATTGCTTGTCAGAATTAATAATACAATATCAGTTTTAATTCATAATTAATATAAAACGATAGTTGCATATATAGTCGCTAATGAAAGATGCACATTTTAACACGCATAGAACATCGAAATACATCAATAATTTCAGTACCTGCTTTTATCTGAATTGTAAACGTAAATCATGAGTAAGACTGTATTTTGAACAAAAATAGTTATTGAGATTTGTCGTGCACGCGTAGAAAATTGTTTCTTTGTCGGAGAACTTTCGAAATATATGTATATATTGCACATATGGATTTTGTCATTAGAATTGAATAAATGTTGTAAATGTATAATGACCTAATTATATATTATTTATACAAACACAAGGTTTTCCAGAGAAAAAATCATGATAAGAAATGACAAAATATCAATTATCGATTTATAATACGATATAAAAGTAGTCAAATATATTTTATTTCAATATCTAGATAGTACATTATCTGCAGATTAATTTTACATCAAAACATACAATTTACAAATTCTTCCGTTTAATATACGTAATAACAAAAAGTGTCGTCTACGGAAACATTACGTCGACTTTTAATACTTTAGAATCAGGCAAAATACATTGTTTATATATATTTTAATAGTGCAAAAATTGCAAAGACATGACAAAATGTTAGTTATAGCAGTAAATTATATGATTACAAGAAATATTTAATTATGACCGCTTATGATTAAAACATAATAAATGAACAGCGCGTATTTAAATAATTCAATATACATTAATGAAATCGTCATAGGTTTGATAATAAGAAAGACTGAAAAGAATCATATACTAAAGTTTTATTATCTAAATGAAAACTGCAAGATTTCGAAAAATTAATTATCCCTACTAAATCATATGAAGAATAAGAGAACGCGTCCAAAAATATGGGAGAACATGAATCATATAATCATCTGTTCGATAATAAACATTGTTTAAGAAGAAGTGTCAATATCTAATAGCATGTAAATCACGACAGTAAAATATAAAAAATTAGATAAACCTGAATAGAAAATGGAACAACGCGTTTAAAAATAATTCTGCTTTTGCTAGTCAAAATATTCGCATGGATATGTTAATAAATACAACTGTTATAATTTATTTTAAAATTCTATTAATATCACACACTGATCAAAATAATGTTACAGCATAATCGACACGGAATCTGTGCTATCTGTGGTAAATGAATATATTAATTGGTAAAAGTAAAAATGTTTCAAGTGCATCTGGTAGAGGATATTCTCTTATTCTTTACATACAAGTAGCTGCATCTATTTTCCGTCATTTTCGATTTAATTAATAATGTTGTACTTTCAAAATTTATATACTCTGATTTATATTTCGAAAATACATCGTGCTTTCATAACTCTTATTCTTTTTAAACCATTTCGGTTGGGTATTCTGTTGAATAACTTTTTAGCAATTTCAGTAACGCTCTTACCTGAATCGTGTGTGGAAATCATGCAGCGATATTTTGAACATAAATTATTTTTCAGAAAATAAATATTTTATCGGTTCTCAATATAAACAATATAAATATGATGTTTTCTAATTGCCTAAGATAAATAATTTTTATTTATTATATACGCATATAAATGATTCTTAATTTGAACCGTAAACGTACATACGTGGAAGTTTTTCCGTGCTTATTTCGCTTTTCCTTGATTTATTTCAAAAGTTTTTTTTATGTATCAATTAATTAAATCAAAATTCATATATTTCCAACAAAATTTAACTACGATCTTTTATATTGTTAAAAGCTTAATTGATTACGATGCACAACTGAGAAACGCATTTAGAGAGGAGATAACACGGTACAAATGAATAAAATGATAAAGTCAATTTGGTTAGAGAAGTATCTTTAACCATTTAATAAATATGTATAAACATTTACAATCTACTATAAAAAAAGTCATGTGTACCCGTGAAGTGCGTGTTTGGAGTCGAAAGTCTTGTTGCCGTTTTTCCGCGTATACGTGATTGGTGGTCGATTCGAGGTACGGGGCGAACTTGATCGCGGTTATTATAATAATGACAGTTCGTATCGTGATAATAAAGGTTAAATGTGTAGTGATCTCGGTATGTGTTATATAATATTTCTTAAGAGCTTGTGTCGTGTCACGCAAGATTTAGTAGAAAATAATATATTTATAAAAAAGAAGGCATAAATAAGATGAAGCAGTGATCGACGAATGAAAAAAAGTAAGTATATATATAAATATATATACAGATCTTTTTATTATATTTAATACAAATAAATCTTAATTTTTTTTTTTTTTTTTTTTTTATCACAATTTATAGGATTCTAATTAAATAATTAAGCAAATTTATCTATTTATAAAATAATTAAGAGAAAAAGATATAATATCATTTTACTTCAGTACTCTGTAGCCGAAATTTATGATACATTAAACTAATTATTATGTCGAAATAGGCTATCTTTTTGCTTACTCCTGAGTAAATTAAACATAAAAAACAGAGATCGATAATATTAAAAAGAAAAAGAAGCCTTCGATTTGAAAAATTATTTTTATTTTACATCTGCATAGAAAGTATGAATGATGATTAATAAACGACTAATCCTGTAGTTTGAATTCTGATTTAAATATAATTATTGTACTCGATATCTCGGCCGTATTAAAATTAAATATGAATAATATCTACATTCTTGCAATATATAATAATACAACATATGATATACACAATAATTAAGTACAAAAATATCCTATAAATTGTCGTAATGCAATTTGCTTACGAAAACATTTTACATAAAATTTAATTTTATTTCATAAAATACATTATAATACATAACATCATTTTTGAAAAACCATTACTTATGTAACGAATGGTGACATTTATTTTTAACATCATTGAAATAATTATATTTTACTTAATGTCAAAGTTCGATAAAAAATTGATACTTGATATTATATATAGTTTCTAGAAGAGTATATAAAATAATACTTTCAAAATATTATAACGTTTAAATAACACGAAAGTGAAACTAATTATAACCAAACATTGTGAACGCGTTAAAAAAAAATTTTTTTAAATATTAGAATTATTTTCACATATTATTTAATAAAATGGAAAAGAATCATTATTTTCGAATCATTTTGCGTGGTGGTAATCCTAAATCTTCATTGGATGTTTTTTTTACAATTGGTCTTGTACCCAACAATAATTGTTGAAATGATAACTTTTCCTCTCCTATTTGCTTTATGTCTGTTGAATGATCAATCTCCAAATAAAATATGTCATCTAAATGATAAAATTATAATATTAATGACAGTTATATAGTAATTATATTTTGGAAATTTTAAAACTTTTTCACATAGCTTACTCATAATTTTTACATATCCTTTCATTTCAATCATTTGCCCCTTGTCAAAGTAGACATCATTATCATAATTTACTATTTGTATCTCCAATTTATACATCTTATCTGTAATGGATCCGCAGCCAATTGTTTTAAAACTATTTAGAAATTTATTAAAATTCGTTTTAATGTATCCACGTATAACTGAAAAAAATTTTATTAATTTTAGTTTATCACAAGATTCATCTTTAGTTCATCAGTATCATTTTTAGTTTATCACTGTATTATAACGAATTGACTTATAGAAAATATTTAAATCTCATAATTATAAAAATCAAACAGTATAAAAATAAGAAATTATGTAAAAAATATGTATATAAAAGATTTATAAAAGCATATAGTTACATATTTATACGTACGTTTGCATACAAATGTTTATCGATATATAAGAAATACCGGATTTTAGTATAAAGTATATTATTTACATATAAACACTTACTAATGCATGCATTAAGATATTGAGGTACATCACACAATTCCACTAATTGTGGTTGCATCGCTTGAATGTTTTTTTTTAGGTCAAAATTACCCAACGTATTTATTGTCGTGTTGGATCGAATAATTAGTTCGTATTGAAGTGTCCCTTGGTTGAATTCAGGTATTTTTACCTTTTTAGCCTTAGCACCATCAATATGCACAATCTGCAAAATTAACAAATATTATTAAATTAAATATGTATATTAAATTAATATTATTCTAATACTACTGTTTTATATGTACTTTATTGGAATAAACTTTTTTTTTTAAATATTACAACAAAATGATAATAAAAATAATAATTTTAATGTTATAAAAAATAAATTATACAAAAATGTATCGCTTACTCGATTTGGTTGTATATAAAAATTTATACGATCAATTTCTTCGTTCCAGGCAACAACTTGAATGCGATGTTTACTGTTGTTGTTCACCAAAATTTTAACAATCTATAATGTTGGGATTTACCAACTATCTTCGGACCGTCAATTTCATCGATAAATCCAACAATTTCTCTAAATAAATTTTTTTTATTAAATTAGTAATATAATAATATTTTAATTTGTTTTAATTATCAAGCTAAAATATTAAATATTATGTTCTTTTATTTGTTAATTACAACAAAAGATAATTATTTTTTATTTAAGAAAGAATTAAATATATATACATAATGTGATCACAACAATTGTTAATAAATAGTCGAAAAGAAACTTTGAAGGTTATTGTGACATAAAAATTTTGATATTAAATATGTATATGTGTATCAAAACTATATTAATTTACAAATGAGATATTTTAATTAAATTATTCTAATAACATGCTTTAAAAAACAATACATTATTAACGAAAGCGTACTAAATATCATTTATTGATAATATTTTTCCAATGGTAGATTTGATAATTACATGTTATATAATTTCTGATAATGTAAATTTTAAAAACAATTCATTATATTGTAGTATATTTCGTTATTAAATTTTTCGTTTAAATTAATCTTAAAAATATTTTATTAACTGATATGATAATACATTTAAGACATAGAGGTAAAAATTTGATAAATAATTATACAATTAAATAAAAAATTATATTATATTAAGTATAAATTAAAAATATAAAGACTCACACAGTAGAATCTTCGAATTGTATCGATTCCAACATTTCATCCGATGCCAAATATATCGTCTCCAAAACATCATTTTGATTGAGAAAAGTAATTTCCTGTCTATTGACTTCCACATCATTACTTCGATTTGGAGTAAAAGTTTTCTTTTTGTTGCAGGTTTCCGAATGACTTTCTTCGTTTAATGTCTCCTGCTGTATGTTAAGTATTCTGTAAATGAGTAGCGTATATCAATATAATATCGTGATTAATAAAATATATTTTGTAACGGGGCTCCTTTCCCGACGCCACGGATCGGCTCGTCGGTGCCAGGATTCGGGAAGAGGGGGGGGGGGAGACTCAGGTTCGCAATAACCACGCCAATCGTTCTGGTAAAAAAGAGTTTATTGAAGCCGCCCTGCAAGAGTGGGCTTATTATCTAGTCTATGCGTACAGAGGAGAATCGCAGGAAGTGCGGACCGCGACCAACTTATACGGACGCGGACACGATTTATAACTAAGGAATACAAGTAATGCAACGGACGAAACGCGACCAAATCATACGGACGCGGGCACGACTTATAACTAAGGTTTACAAATAATAACGCGACGGACGAAACGCGACCAAATCATACGGACGCGGACACGACTTATAACTAGGGTGTACAAATGATAACGCGACGGACGAAACGCGACCAAATCCTACGGACGCGGACACGACTTATAACTAAGGTTTACAAATGATAACGCGACGGACGAAACGCGACCAAACCATACGGACGCGGACACGACTTATAACTAAGATAGTAGCGTGGCGGACGAGATTTACCCAACGCGGCGTGGATACGAGCGCCCTGAAAAGGGCGAGCTCCGTAAACCGCCTTGGATTCGGGCGCCCTGAGAAGGGCGAGCTCCGCAAGATGTCGGTGGCTCTCGGAGGATCCGGCGACCGAGGAAACTCGGCCTTCCCGACGAGAACGCTCGTCGGCCGGGGTGATGTTCGGAGAGGATCCGGAGACCGAGAATGCTCGGCCTGCCCGACGAGAACGCTCGTCGACCGGGGTGCTGTTCGGAGAGGATCCGGTGACCGAGGACGCTCGGCCTACCCGACGAGAACGCTCGTCGGCCGGGGTGATGTTCGGAGAGGATCCGGTGACCGAGAACGCTCGTCGCCCGGGATGGTTAGGAGGTGAGGAGTAGTCCTTGAGTACGCTCAAGAGACCAGGACGGGACTGGTCTCGAAGTCTCGGCTGCGCCGCTTTATATACCCGTCGGTCAGCCCCTCCAACTAGCTTGGGGTGGGGCGGTCCGGTCGGGTGGGGCGAAAAGGCAAATTCCCACGTGTTCGATGTGTGGTGGCCCCGACAGGGGCCGTTTATATGAGCGCGGGCGGACGGTCGGCCTCGTGCTTGCGCGGCTTCTAGTGACGACAAAACGGGTCGTCACAATTTTATAAAACTTTTATGTCGCAAGTTACAAGCTCTTCCATTTAAATTATGTAAAAGATTATTATATTGCGAACTTTAAAAAAGAATCGGTAAAATAGAATCTCTTTTATATAAGAAAGCAGTTATAAAAATAATGTAAATTATTACTAAAAAGCTATCAATCGATTTTAACTAACAAAATTAGCTATTCTCTGTAACAATAATTTAAAAATTTATAAATAAAAAATGAAAATATTAATAAAAATATAGTATACAGGATTTGTCCGGAAAGTAATGCGTCGCATTTTTTGTGACGCGACTATACATCGCAGAGCGATGGGACCGGTTGGGGAGGAAGGGGGGTACCCTTAGCTTTCCAACGGTAGGTCGCTCAATTGTTTCCATGCGCTTGGAGGGTTAGGACGGCTTATTCTGTGAACCTCTGCTTAGTGGTCGCGTCGAACTTGTGATGGAGAGAACGATAGAGCAACGCTATGCGATAAAGTTTTGCGTGAAGCTGGACAAGACTGCGATTGTAATCCCAATTTCCTGAACAACGTTATCACTGGGGATGAGTCATGGGTCTTTCAGTACGATCCGGAGTCAAAGAGGCAGAGTGCGGAATGGCACACGACGTCGTCGCCGCGCCAGAAGAAGGCTCGCATGAGCAAGTCCCGGGTGAAGTCAATGCTCATTGTTTTTTTTGATGCAAAGGGGATAGTGCACCATGAATTCGTACCCCCCGGCCAGACTGTCAACGCTCAATTTTACAAGGAAGTGCTTCAGAGACTGAATCACAGGATCGCCCGCGTCCGAAAGGAGATCCGCGCTTCATGGAAACTCCATCACGACAACGCGCCGGCTCACAACCGCCTTTGTTATTACGGCCTACCTGACCCGGATCGGTGTGGCAACGGTGCCGCAGCCGCCCTACAGTCCCGACTTGGCCCCGGCGGACTTTTTTTTATTTCCTCGGCTGAAAAGGGAGCTCAAAGGACAACAGCTCGAGTCGGTTGACAACGTACAAGCTACTTCGACGGCCTCCCTGAACAGCATCCCAGTCAAGGAGTTCCAGAAATCTTATGACGCATGGAAATCGCGTTGGCAAAAATGTATTGACGCAGAAGGGTCATACTTCGAACAATTTTAAGTTGTTTTACCTATGCGATCAATAAATTCTTTTTTAAAAAAATGCGACGCATTACTTTCCGGACAAACCCTGTATTAATAAATTTACTTGTTAAGCGAGGATTCCTTTAAATTAATTTGGGACGAATGTTTATTTCCATTATTTTTTTTCTTATCCTTTTGATGTTGGTTAACTTTTTCCATTTTTTCTTTTTATCTCTTTTTCTTCCTCGTTCCTTTATTTAAAACTAAACAAAAACGTATACTATAATATATCGCATAAAGTGTAATTTTATGTTAAAAATAGAAATTAAATCGCAAGAGTTTTATAAGAGAGCAATATCAATATCGAACAAAATTTAAAAAAAAAATTTTTTTTTAAATTTAAAATATATATTTAAAAAATTTTAACAAAATTATAATTTAAAATTTAAAAAATAATTAAGTAATGTAATAATTATTAAATTTATTTATAATGTATAATAATTTATAAATAATTATTAAAAATATATCAATAATTTAGCTCACTTCTTCGAACCTCCTGTAGATTGAGAAGATATGTTGCTATGTATAAAGAGTAACATATTTTGTTTTATCGTTGCTATAGAAAATTCGATGACGTTAAAGTTGTGTTCTAAAATCACTATTAATATTGAAAATCTATAATTCACGTCACATTTTAGAACACAACTTTAACGTCATCGAATTTTCTATAGCAACGATAAAACAAAATATGTTACTCTTTATACATAGCAACATATCTTCTCAATTCTACAGGAGGTTCGAAGAGGTGAGCTAAATTATTGATATATTTTAATAATTATTTTATAAATTATTATACATTATAAACAAATTTAATAATTATTACATTACTTAATTATTTTTAAAATTTAAATTATAATTTTGTTAAAATTTTTTAAATTTTAAATTAAAAAAATTTTTTTTTTAAATTTTGTTCGATATTAATATTGCTCTCTTATAAAACTCTTGCGATTTAATTTCTATTTTTAACATAAAATTACACTTTATGCGATATATATAGTATACGTTTTTGTTTTAGTTTTAAATAAAGGAACGAGGAAGAAAAAGAGATAGAAAGAAAAAATGGAAAAAGTTAACCAACATCAAAAGGATAAAAAAAAAAATAATGGAAATAAACATTCGTCCCAAATTAATTTAAAGGAATCCTCGCTTAACAAGTAAATTTATTAATATACTTATTTTTATTAATATTTTCATTTTTTATTTATAAATTTTTAAATTATTGTTACAGAGAATAGCTAATTTTGTTAGTTAAAATCGATTGATAGCTTTTTAGTAATAATTTACATTATTTTTATAACTGCTTTCTTATATAAAGAGATTCTATTTTACCGATTCTTTTTAAAGTTCGCAATATAATAATCTTTTACATAATTTAAATGGAAGAGCTTGTAACTTGCGACATAAAAGTTTTATAAAATATATTTTATTAATCACGATATTATATTGATATACGCTACTCATTTACAGAATACTTAACATACAGCAGGAGACATTAAACGAAGAAAGTCATTCGGAAACCTGCAACAAAAAGGAAACTTTTACTCCAAATCGAAGTAATGATGTGGAAGTCAATAGACAGGAAATTACTTTTCTCAATCAAAATGATGTTTTGGAGACGATATATTTGGCATCGGATGAAATGTTGGAATCGATACAATTCGAAGATTCTACTGTGTGAGTCTTTATATTTTTAATTTATACTTAATATAATATAATTTTTTATTTAATTGTATAATTATTTATCAAATTTTTACCTCTATGTCTTAAATGTATTATCATATCAGTTAATAAAATATTTATGAGATTAATTTAAACGAAAAATTTAATAACGAAATGTACTACAATATAATGAATTGTTTTTAAAATTTACATTATCAGAAATTATATAACATGTAATTATCAAATCTACCATTGGAAAAATATTATCAGTAAATGATATTTAGTACGCTTTCGTTAATAATGTATTGTTTTTTAAAGCATGTTATTAGAATAATTTAATTAAAATATCTCATTTGTAAATTAATATAGTTTTGATACACATATACATATTAATATCAAAATTTTTATGTCACAATGACCTTCAAAGTTTCTTTTCGATTATTTATTAACAATTGTTGTGTGATCACATTATATATATATATTTAATTCTTTTCTTAAATAAAAAAAATTATTAAGAGTTTAACTAGGCTCTGTAATATATAAATATAAATTTAACATATATAAGATAGGCAAATAAGAGCCAAATCGCGGATGACAGTGCGTTATTCTAAACGAAACTAAATTTTTTCGTTAGAATTAAATACCTGTGCACAAGGCACCAAATTTTTACTTGGACACGGCCAAGATATAAAATTGGAATAATCTCTACAAGAGATTTTTAATTCCATGTATCCCCTATTCCCCCTAAAGAAATAAAGTGCGAGAGAAAAATATAGATCCGAAAGTCGCAGAATCGGGAATCGAACCCGAGACCTTTCGCTTGCCGGGCGACTGCTCTTCCAACTGAGCTATTCAGATCCTTTCGATTCTATACTTTTCTCTGTTATATATATTAATGTTGGTAAATAAACGCCTTTAAGCCAGCGTGTATAAATTAAGAGTTTAACTAGGCTCTGTAATATATAAATATAAATTTAACATATATAAGATAGGCAATAAGAGCCAAATCGCGGATGACAGTGCGTTATTCTAAACGAAACTAAATTTTTTCGTTAGAATTAAATACCTGTGCACAAGGCACCAAATTTTTACTTGGACACGGCCAAGATATAAAATTGGAATAATCTCTACAAGAGATTTTTAATTCCATGTATCCCCTATTCCCCCTAAAGAAATAAAGTGCGAGAGAAAAATATAGATCCGAAAGTCGCAGAATCGGGAATCGAACCCGAGACCTTTCGCTTGCCGGGCGACTGCTCTTCCAACTGAGCTATTCAGATCCTTTCGATTCTATACTTTTCTCTGTTATATATATTAATGTTGGTAAATAAACGCCTTTAAGCCAGCGTGTATAAATTAAGAGTTTAACTAGGCTCTGTAATATATAAATATAAATTTAACATATATAAGATAGGCAATAAGAGCCAAATCGCGGATGACAGTGCGTTATTCTAAACGAAACTAAATTTTTTCGTTAGAATTAAATACCTGTGCACAAGGCACCAAATTTTTACTTGGACACGGCCAAGATATAAAATTGGAATAATCTCTACAAGAGATTTTTAATTCCATGTATCCCCTATTCCCCCTAAAGAAATAAAGTGCGAGAGAAAAATATAGATCCGAAAGTCGCAGAATCGGGAATCGAACCCGAGACCTTTCGCTTGCCGGGCGACTGCTCTTCCAACTGAGCTATTCAGATCCTTTCGATTCTATACTTTTCTCTGTTATATATATTAATGTTGGTAAATAAACGCCTTTAAGCCAGCGTGTATAAATTAAGAGTTTAACTAGGCTCTGTAATATATAAATATAAATTTAACATATATAAGATAGGCAATAAGAGCCAAATCGCGGATGACAGTGCGTTATTCTAAACGAAACTAAATTTTTTCGTTAGAATTAAATACCTGTGCACAAGGCACCAAATTTTTACTTGGACACGGCCAAGATATAAAATTGGAATAATCTCTACAAGAGATTTTTAATTCCATGTATCCCCTATTCCCCCTAAAGAAATAAAGTGCGAGAGAAAAATATAGATCCGAAAGTCGCAGAATCGGGAATCGAACCCGAGACCTTTCGCTTGCCGGGCGACTGCTCTTCCAACTGAGCTATTCAGATCCTTTCGATTCTATACTTTTCTCTGTTATATATATTAATGTTGGTAAATAAACGCCTTTAAGCCAGCGTGTATAAATTAAGAGTTTAACTAGGCTCTGTAATATATAAATATAAATTTAACATATATAAGATAGGCAATAAGAGCCAAATCGCGGATGACAGTGCGTTATTCTAAACGAAACTAAATTTTTTCGTTAGAATTAAATACCTGTGCACAAGGCACCAAATTTTTACTTGGACACGGCCAAGATATAAAATTGGAATAATCTCTACAAGAGATTTTTAATTCCATGTATCCCCTATTCCCCCTAAAGAAATAAAGTGCGAGAGAAAAATATAGATCCGAAAGTCGCAGAATCGGGAATCGAACCCGAGACCTTTCGCTTGCCGGGCGACTGCTCTTCCAACTGAGCTATTCAGATCCTTTCGATTCTATACTTTTCTCTGTTATATATATTAATGTTGGTAAATAAACGCCTTTAAGCCAGCGTGTATAAATTAAGAGTTTAACTAGGCTCTGTAATATATAAATATAAATTTAACATATATAAGATAGGCAATAAGAGCCAAATCGCGGATGACAGTGCGTTATTCTAAACGAAACTAAATTTTTTCGTTAGAATTAAATACCTGTGCACAAGGCACCAAATTTTTACTTGGACACGGCCAAGATATAAAATTGGAATAATCTCTACAAGAGATTTTTAATTCCATGTATCCCCTATTCCCCCTAAAGAAA